CCAAAATGCTGGGATTACAGGTGTGAGCCACCATGCCCAGCCTTCTATTCCTTTTCCTAATGCATTTGCCCCAGCTATCTGTATAGCCTGAAATCTGGTAGATGGACCACAGGGAAACCACTGCAACAAATTGAAAGTGTTTATCTCAGATCCTTCCACCAGCATCATTTCCAGAATCATCCTCACTATCTCCACCACCATCACCTCTACCACTATCACCAGTATCATCCTCATCCTTCCATCACCATCCCCACTGCTATCTCTCAACGCCATCATCATCACCACCATCATCACCATGAGTACCACCTCTGTCATCATCAAAAAAGCACACAGGTGAGCCTTGCTTTAATTAATCCCAAAACTATATATAAAATATGAGTTATGTGAACAAATTCAGGAGTGATTGTTTGCTTTTCCAAATTATCCAATCTAAAGTAATCTTAAATAGTTAAGCTTCCCTGGTGTTTTTAAAATGTGCTTTGATTTACAAACATTTTAATTGCCCAGATCTCTTCAGGAACATGCCTATTTTAAGATGTAAGGCATAACAGAAAGGATTTTCAAGCTGACAGAGGAGGGCAAGCATAAGAGTCCATGTAAGGACTCCTCCTTGATTCATTAAGTTAATTCAGAAGAGTTTTACAGCGTGCACGAATCTACTAAACATTAAGCAGTTTTAGTTGGCCATAAGTCACGGACTGTAAAGGGAGAAGTGGATTTCATCAGTAGTACTCCTATATATAAATAGTATACCTATATAAAAATATACTTATATAAATACATCATATATGTACTTGTATAGGTATCTTGTTTATATTTTATATTTGTATACATAAGTATACAATAAATCATATGTGAGACAAATGTATATTATTATTACAAATATCCTGGGTAGGCATGGTGGCTCACACATGTATCCTAACACTTTGGGAGGCCAAGGCAGGAGGTCACTTGAGCTTAGGAGTTCAAGACCAGCCTGGGCAACATAGCAAGACCTCATCTGTACTAAAAATTTTAAAAAATTAACTAGGCATGATGGTGCACGCCTGTAGCCCCAGCTACTATGGAGGATGAGGTGGGAGGATTGCATGAACCCAGGAGGTAGAGGTTGCAGTGAGCTGAGTTCGCACCACAGTACTCCAGCCTGGGCAACAAAGCAAGACTCCATCTCAAAAAACAAAAATGAAAACAAAAAACAAATATCCTTTTCTAGGTTGTGAAATTTCAGTTAGGGGTTGAAGTAGATTATTAAGAGGGCTACAAATTCCTCTCATCTTGTATGTATATCCCTTGTGATACAACTTTGCCATTCTTCTCATCAACAAGAAGAGTCTATTTCACTACTCCTTGACTCTGACTCTGGGTTGACTGTGTGATTTCTTTTTCTTTTTTTGAGATGGAGTTTTGCTCATATTGCCCAGGCTGGAGTGCAATGGTGTGATCTCAGCTCACTGCAACCTCTGCCTCCAGGGTTCAAGCGATTCTTCTGCCTCAGCCTCCTGAGTAGCTGAGATTACAGCACCTGCCACCATGCCCAGCTAATTTTTTGTATTTTTAGTAGAGACAGGATTTCACCATGTTGGCCAGGTTGGTCTTGAACTCCTAACCTCAGGTGATCTGCCCACCTCAGCCAAGTGCTGGGATTACAGGTGTGAGCCACTGCGACTGGCCAACTGTGTGACTTCTTTAATGGGATAACAAATGTGACGCAAGCAGAGGTTTAACAAGTGCGTGCACATTGGGGTTTGTTCTCTCTTGCTGATCTAGGAACCCTGCCACCACCACATGTGATGCAGTTCAGGCTGGCCTGCTGGAGGATAACAGATGATGTGGAGCAGAGATGAGCTGGCCCAGTTCAGGCCCTACCAGAGCAAACAGCTTGCCAATCATGACATACATGAGCAAGGCCATCCTAGACCACCCGCCGGCCCAGACCAGAGACTCATGAGAAACAGTAAAATGTTCATCATTTTAAGCCACTAGATTTTGTGGTGGTTTGTTATACTGCAAAAACTAACTGATACAATATATTGTATTTTGTTTTCTTCCTTAATATTTATCCATTCCAAAAAGCTTGGGTAAGATGTTTGGTATACTGAAGTCAGAGTTGCCACAACATATGATGCTTCATTTTCTTCCAGTTCTAAAAGCTCTGATTCTCTTATATTATTAAGCTTCCTTTCCCAGCTTTGGTCTTTACAGAAGGGATGGGAAATAAAGGTAGTAAAAATGAGGCATGTTATTAGGAGTGAGAAGGGAGGTGAAGATGTGAATTAAGGTAGTGATGATAGGATGCTGAGACTAAAAAGAGAGGACAGCACAACTCATAAAGTGTTGACTAACTTCCTGGGAGAAGTTTGTTCTAGTAAATCAGAGTCTCTATGAAACTCCCTGGCAAAGACCCCAGACGTCCCTGTGTTAAATTGCAAACACACATTCTAAAATTCCCCTTATGCTCCATTCCTTAGTTCCTCTCAATCTTTTTCACTATCCAAAGTATGGTTTTCTACTTTGGTAGCTAGAATTTTGGGGGCTCCAAGTGACAAAAGCCCAACCCAACCTAGCTCAAGCAAAAAAAAAAAAGATATATTAGCTTTTACCATCTTAAAAGTCCAGAGCATCATCAGGCTGCAGGCAAGGCTGAATCCAGTTCCTCAAATGATGTCTTCAGGGAACTGTCTCCCCATCTCCACCTCCAGGATCTGCTGTACTTGGTCTTGTCCTATCTGTATCCCTCAGTCCCTGACCTATTGTGTGGGTCCCAGACTTGCGTGGTAGCCACTGCCCATGGTATCTCTCCATCTTGAGTGATCCTGGCCTTCCTCCTACTCCCTACCTATTACCCTGATCATGTTAAGGGACCAGAAAACACCCAATTTCCCAAGGAAAAGGGAAAGAAACTTGGAATTTATCCTAGACCTCTTCATGAGCCCCCATATCTAATAGATCATAAAACCAAGTCATTTCTACCCCATTTGTGTCTTTGGAATTGGTTACTTCTTTCCATGGCCCTTGTCACTGTGCTTTGTCATGTACTCAGAAGAGGAAAGTTTCTCCCAAACCAGTCTTTGCTCTGTACCTTACAAACCATCCTTCTTGCCTAGAATAGCCTATTAAAGTGTAAAACCTGAGTCTAGCATTCCCTGCTTAAACTATTTGGTTATGTAACTTGTAAAACCTGTTCCACAAATTTGGTGATTTGCCCAGTTGATCACTTGAACCCCCTCAGCTACCCTGGTGGGAGACAGCCTACTTCTCTTAGTTTGGGTTCCCTAGAAACAGAGCCCAAGCTGGGATCAGCATTGTTATTTCAGGAACCTCACTGCTCCCTGCCAGTGGGCTGTGGGTAGGCCCATTCTAATCCACCCTGCCTGGCCTGCCTAGCTAGATTACAGTGTTTTGGGGAAGGAGATTGGCGATTGGCCTCCCAAGAGGCCCAGGGCTCCTCATGCAAATTGCTTTTACCTAGTGACAAGCTCTACCTGCCTGGGGTCTCAGATGGGGGCCTTCACCCAGTCACAAAACATCCTTTTATGCCAGGGGTCAAAAGCTCAAATGCCTCCGGGAGCCAAAAACCTGACAAACAGGGCAGCCTTTACTCAGCAACCATCCACGGTTACCCAGCAGAAATCTGGCACTCACAGTTGCTAAGTCTTTAATTTTTTTCAGGAGGAGCCAAAAATATTGAGTTTTATGTAAAATATTCCGGTTTTAAGCTGTTAGCTTGATAAAAAAAAAAAAAAAAAAAAAAAAAAAAAACAGGCACAACAAAACTTGTCTGGGGCCTTATCTGGCCTAGGAGCTGTCAGTTTGTGAATTCTGTTTGCTGCCCTAATCCCAGAACAATGGATGCCCACTTGCCCCACATTTGCATAACTTTGGGAGCCAATGCTGAGATCTGTGACTAGACAAAGATCAACTGTGAACCGGCCACAAAGGTTCCATGACTTCAAAATAAAGGGTAACCTTCTTCAGCAAGGCCTGTGTGACCTCCCTGGCCTGGCTTCTACCCTTCTCCACCCTTTCCCGCACCTCCTTCCCCCTCCCCCAACGTTTGTTTCACACCTAGGGCCTTGGTGGTAACCCGGCTCTTTATCCTGGAGATCCCTCCCCTTCCAGTTATCTAAGGGCACTCCCACCATCCTTCTTGGATCCTTTCCCTGACCCCTGCTTTCTCTTCTGCCTACTTCATTTTTCAAAACAGTTGCCTCGTGGAGTCCTGTGTTCTTTACATGTCGTGGCCCCAGCTGACTGAATCCCTGGAGGGCAGGAGCCTGGGTTTCTTCACCTCTGTATCCCTGTTGCCTCATAGAGCCCTGGTGCTTTCAACGCAGACTGGAGCAATGGGTATCCAATGCAAAAATTACCATGACCTTGACCATTGCCCTTCACATGTCAGAAATCCATTAGTGAAGAACTGGCCATTTTTATGTTAAGAGATTAAGCTGATATTTGGCATTTATGAGAGGAAGAAAACTTGCTGAATCCTTTAATTTTTAAAATGACTACCTATTTATGAAAAACAGTTGGAAAAAAATACGTTTTAAAACTCAGCTTTGGACCTCGCTGAAGCTTCCAAGGGGTTCTGGAACTAGAGAATGACTACAGTGACCAGCATTCGCTTTTCTCGAGACCCTCAAGGGTCCTCAGGGCTCATCTTAAAGTAGGGGATGAGAGGGGAGGGAGGATGCGTGCTGCCTCCCTCGGAGGGCAGGAACCAGCTCCTCTGAATGAAACAGCACTTTCCACAGAGACAGCGGCCTAGGGTGTGGGGCGCGCAAGCCACAGTCGAAAGCCCCTTTGCATAATCCATTCTTAAATTGACTGAGGCTTGTACAGTTGTAAACTGAAACTCCAGAGGCACACCTCGAGTGGTTACATTTTCTCGAAAAGAATGTTTCCCAGCCTGTCAATGATTTCCTGCTCTCCGACCCTCCCCAACGCGCGCACACACCCAACTTTTGGTAGCCCGCTGCCTTGACATTGAGCCTCTTTCCTACCTGAAGTGGAGCAACCTCAGGGAAGCAGCGAGGCTGGCGTTTCATTCATAATACATGAACTCAGGGGAGGAGGGAGGCGGGGGCAGGGGCCTTTCATTTCTGCTATTTAAAATCCCGGCATTGCAGCTGAAAGAGAAAACGACCTGGGAGTGAACGGCACTGGGCATGAAGCATTGCACGATAACGGCACAACCGAGCGCGTCAGCTGCCCGCCCGCCGGCTATTTATACCGCGCAGATTATGCAATCGGGCTCCAGCCATTCATGCCCTGACTGGGCCGCCGCACGCCCGGGGCGGGGGGGCCTCATTCCCGGGCGCCGGGTCAGTTTCTAAGTTTGCATCATCCCCTGCATTACGAGAGAGCTTGGGTTTCCATTCCTGCCAGCGGGGCTTGGGGGAGACAGCTGGGCTACAAACTCACTTGGCACACACGACTGCTTACTTAAACATCATAATAAAGGCTCCAGATCGCCCGAGGCGCGGCCGGGCCGCTTGCAGGGCTGGGCTCGGGGAGACCGGAAGGAACTGATAAACTGAGCGCTAATGACACCCCTCCCTCCCGCGTCGGAAGTGTCCTCGGAGCGCCGGTCATTGAGAAATACCGAAGGGGCTGAGTGGGGGTGAGGCGAGGACAGGCCTGAGCGCAGCTGCGCGCGCCTAGCGGGGCGGGGAGCGGGGGCGCCGCGGCAGCGGGGGGCTTCTGCGGGCCGGGCGGTGGCGGGGAGGCGCGAACCTTCCGGCCCCGTGGAGTCCTCCCTAAATCACCCCCTCCCCGCCCCTGGGAAGCGGGAGGGCGAGTGACTGCTCAGATCCCACCCCGCCCCTGGGGAAGTCTACACTCCCGGCCCTACCGGACCCGGACGGACGAGAGGGGGCGAAGGACACGAACGAGAGAGCGGATTGCAGAGGAGACTAAAATGTCCGCTTCTCCTGGCGCCCGAGCCTGGCGGGAGGGGTGGGGGCCGCGGCTGGCTTCCCAGTGAAACAGGACCTGCAGAGCTACTGAGCATGCCCGTCCCCGGCCGCGGAGGGTCGCTCCGGCTCCGCGCTCCGGGCTTTCCGGGCGGCCCGCGGGAAGGGCCCGGGTGGGGGTTCTCCCCCGCCCTGGACTCGGAACTGAGAGGCCTGTAGGTGGGGGACCTGCTGGGGGCCCCCCGCTGGCTTTGCGTGAAGTTGTGAGCAGATCCATATTACTCTTGAATCTTTACGATCCTACTCTAACTGAACACTATTGATCTGATCGCGTTCAGAACTTCCCACCCCCTCCTCCCCGTTCTGCGGGTTGCGGGGAGAGACCGCGATGTGGGTCCTTAGTTCTTTCAGCAGTGACATTCAATTAAAGCCCTAAATCCGCGATATCCCCTATTGCAGCAACAATGCAATGGACTTTGATAAAACCCTGATGTTCAGATCAACAGACATATCTGAGTTATTCGCCCAATATCCTCATTTATTCTGTGGAGCTGCAGGAGTCAGACTTGCCTCAACCACAGTAATTGATACGGAGGACCAAGAGGTGACCTGCTAGTAATGTTTCTATCAAAAGGCCCCTTTTGGATGATGAACAAGGCAGAAGAGAACTAGCAGGCTTTATTGAAAGGAACATGAAGAACAGAGTGGAGGCGAGCATTTAGTAAACTAGCTGGCCAAGAATGGAAAGGGCTACCTGGAATCTGCATGTGGTGTGCTTAATACAGTGCCTTCACTGTATAGCCCATTTAAGATTCTCAGCAACCCTATGTTGTGGGTATTATTCCGATACAACAGACACTGAACTCAAGACTTAGAGGACCTGCCTGAGATAGCCCAGCTGGAGTCTGGCACCAGGTGATCCCAGTGGGGACTTGGGGACTTCTGGACCTTAGAATGTTTACTATTGTTCCCTTGGCAACCTGGTCCATAGGCTGGGTCAGTCGTTCACTGCTATTGGCAGAGAGCTGGCTGAGTGAGTGGTGATGACACCAATTTAGCCTGCTCATAGAGCTGGCCTACCTGCAAAAATTAATAATCACCTCACCTGCCACCTTGCTATTTGCATACCTTGAAACTAGGTGGAGGGTGGAGTCCAAGAGAGGCCCATAGGGTGGATAATTTTGACATGGGTAAGTGCTTGTGTTTTGGGAAGCTCAGGAATAACAGGATGGGATCTCTCACAGCACTCCCAGGGAGAAGAGCAACCATGGCCAAAGGTGAGAACTGGGTGGACTCCTTAGCCTTCTAGGGATTTAGAGGACAATGAGATCTTGCCTTTGGTTAGTGCTTTGGTCTTGATATTCCTGTTTTATAAGAAAACTCTTTCGGGGTCTCAGGGTTGCTAGGAGAAAACCAGAACCTGTGTGTTCCATCCCGTTTCATGCCCTCCCCACCACAACACATCACCAACGTGAACCCCACTCCATGTCCACAGAGATCATGGCTGCGATAAGCACAAAGCCTTGAGTAAATCACCAGTTTCTCCCTGACTCAAGGTGAAATGCTTTGGAGCACTTGTGGCTCCTATATGCATGTAAATTTTAGGAATACTAAATTGAGGCATTTATTTATTTATTTTGTGACGGAATTGGAATGTCACTCTCTTTGCCCAGGCTGGAGTGCAATGGCGCGATCTTGGCTCACTGCAGTCTCCCCCTCACGGGATCAAGCAATTCTCCTGCCTCAGCCTACCGAGTAGCTGGAATTACAGGCTTCCACCACCACACCCAACTAATTCTTGTATTTTTAATAGAGACAGGGTTTTGCCATGTTAGCCAGGCTGGTCTCAAACTCCTGACCTCAGGTGATCTGCCTGCCTCGGCCTTTCAAAGTGCTGGGATAACAGGCGTGAGCCACCGCGCCCGGCCGCGGCTGCCTCTTAACCCGAGAAATTCCGTAATTGCTGCGGAAATGCAAACGTTTTTGGGCAAGCTGCACGTGAAACAGAAAAGCCTCTGCCATTCAGAATCTTGGCAAAGTCGAACCCCCTCCCTTTCTGGTTGGGTTGGGTTGGAGAAGCCAGCCCCTGGCACCTGCGCCGCTCCTACTTTCCCACCCTGCGGTGGGGGGTAGTTGTTCCTTAGAGCCTGAGCACCCCTTCAGCTGTTTCACTCCCTCCCCTCCCATCTCCGCTCCCGCCCAACCCCCCGATTTTTAATCCTGGGGTTTGGAAGGAGGGAGGGGACAAAAACGGGAGCCAGATGTGTATCAGTCCTCGGCTCCCGCCTCCTCCCTCCTCTCGGGCTTCCTAAAACCCGGAGCCCTAACCAAGGAGGATTCGGAGCCAGACGGTCACGGCGCAAGCAAACAACTCGGCTTGGCGGCTCCCCCGGGAGTGGAAGCCGGTAGGGAGGGGGAGAGGAAGCCGGGCGTGCTCAGTAGGCGGGACAAAGTTTTTTTTTTCTTCTCTCCCTTTTTTTTTTTTCGGTCGCAAGTAGGAAGCTTTTTGCACTCCACCACCTCTGGCCGCTGGGAAGACGTCATCGCTTCCGCCCTACTTCCTCCTCCTGTTGGCGGCGGTGAGAATCCAATATGGAGTAAATCGGTGGAGTCGAGAGATGGGGCTCGGACGGGGAGCCCTGCACCGCCTCCCAGGCGCACCTCCCCCGGCCGCCGACCGCTCCCCGGAACCGTGATTGGCCAGGCCTCCCGGGGGCGACCCCGGACCGAGACCCGACCCGCGGCCGGCGCTCTCCTCCTCCTCTCAGCAGTCCCCGCCGCTCCGAGGCGCGCTTGTTTTTCTCCTGCTCTCCCCCCACCACCGTCCCCTTCCCAAATCTCGCCCCCTCCGCCTGCTCCCGAACCCCCGGAGTCCCCGCCCGCCTCGCCTCTCGGCGCTGCGGCGTTCACTCCCCGCGCAGCCTGCCTTTGCACCCCTTCCCCCAAACCTCACCCCGCGCCTTGCTTCCCCTCCTGCCTGCGGCGCCCCCTTCATCTCCAGCCGCCCCCCCTCCCCAAATCAGGCGATCTCCGGAGATGTGAAGAAGGGGGGCGAGCAGACAGGAAGATGAAGGGAGCAAAGCTGCCCGCCGCGGGACAGGCGTCTAGGTGAACAAGAAAATGACCGAAGAAACACACCCGGACGAGTAAGTTTGGTCGCGGGGTGGGACGAGGGTGCCCCACGGGGGCGTGGGGGCCGGGGCTGAGGATGCGGGCGGGGACGCTTATTGGGTGAACTTGGCGTGGGGTGCAGCGACTCCCTGACCTGTCAGGGTTGGGACGCGAGGCTTCCATGCTTGTTGAAGTGAGGAGGGGGCCAAAACTGCCGCGGGCTGGCGGGCGCACGCCTAGGGTCGGCGGGCTGGTGGCCGCTGCGGGGGCCAAGGGCGCGCGGGTGACCTCGGGGCGGTCCCTGCTCCCTCTCTGAGGACTCACAGCCCCCACGCCCCCGAAATCCTTGGCGGCTGGAGCGGAAGACCTGACACCCCCACTCCGGCTTCCTGGGGCCGGTGGGTTTTGCACGGTGACTTTGTGACTCCCGCCGCGCCGCGAGCACCGCAGTCCGCTCTGGAGCCCACTGGGGCCTAGGCTCCGCCATTTCGTTTTCTTGAATCGCTCTCATTTGCATACCACATTTTCATTCATAAAAAACACGACGGAGCGAGAGGAGGACAGGCGCGGGCTGCGCGGGGGTCTGGTGCGCTAGGGTCCCCGCGCGGGCCGGCGTGCTAGAGCCGCCCGAGGGGCCCCGCGGCGCGTGAGTGCCTGTGCACGCGCTTGTGGCCCGCACCCGCGCCCCGCGGGGTCCGGCTGCTCGGGGCGGACCGTAGCGTGTGCGGCGGGGGCGTGCGGGGCAGCGCGCTGGGGGCAAGTGTGTGTGTGACCTCGCGGGTGCGCGTGCACGGGCTTGTGCCCGGCCCGCGGGCCCGAGGGAAACAATGCTCCGGGCGCTCAGCCGGAGGGCTCTCGGGCCGCCCCGCATGGGACCTGTGCCTGTGGCCAGACCCGGGCGGAGGTGCAGCTGCCTCCTGCCTCGCGGTCCACGGGTCCGGTTTGGGGTTTTCCCTCCGGGGTCCGAGGCGTTTACAGTCTCGGGTGCGACGGGGGCGGGGCTGTGGGGTCCGGTGCCTTAGGTCTTCTGCCTGGAGTCCGAGCGGTCACCGCGCGGCAGCCGCCGCTGCAGCTCAGTGGCTGTGCCCGCCACCAGCCACTTTTTTTTTTTTTTTTTTTTTTTTGTGAATAAGACGCTCTCCTTTATTGTCACATGATATCCCTCCCCTCCTCCCCTGCACATTCATAAATCCGCAGCCTGCATCGGCTCCTTTCATTCAGTGCTGCCATTAGCCAAGGTAGCGGCGGCGCGGGCTTGGGCGCTAAGAGCCAGTTGGCGGCAGCGGGGACGCGCCCTGGAGGGAGGCCCCGCTCGTGTCTTTGCAGGGGAGAGCAGGCTGCGGGAGGCGTGCTCCTGAGGCCCCAGCTCTTTTGCCCCCTCCACCCGCCCCCCCGCCACCCCATGCGCAAGCATTGAGACTCAAGAGTGAAGGGAGGGGAAGTGACTCAGGGTTGGGCGACAGGGAGGCTTGTCTCTTGCAGCAGGTGA